AAAAAAAAAATCTCTGGGTAGAAATTATTTGCTGAGGCATTAGCTGACATTGTAGACCTATTGTACCCTTATCAAGTGTGTGTTTAATGAATAGCATCTAGGCAATTTCATATGTGACAAAATTTTTTACTGCCAATTTTTCATTCTTTCTAGTCTAGCAGTTCTCAACCCTAGCTGCACATAAAAATCACCTAGGATTTTTAAAAAAGAATTCTGATGACCAGGCCACATTCAGACTCTCAGGGATTGGGATGTGGCTGTACAAATCTGACTAGTGCCCTAAGGGCCAAAATAGCACTTCATAACAACAGACCCAAATTTGGCACTTGCTTCTTGGCACTTTATGCACTGCTCTATTGATTTTGGGGCCTTCTACCTGGAAAATTTTACCCCTCCTCTCTCCCTGGCTTAAATCTACTCAGCCCTCAGGTTTGTTTAAATATCTCTTCCTCCAAGGAAATTGTTCATGATTCCTTCTGTCATTTAATTAGATACTCCTGCCACATCATGGTTCAATAAACACTGGCCTTCCCATATCACAGTACTTTTCTCAATATTGTCTGTTGAGTATCTTCCCCTATAGTATCTACTGTGAAGGGAGAGATCATGTTTGGTTACTCAATACTGTGTGCTTATTACCTGCTTTGCAGGTGTCAAACTCAAAGAGTCTGGTGGTGGCTTTGGCTAGAAATTAATGGTAAAGATTTATTCAAGGGTTTTAGGGTTTGCAAATTGGAAACACGACTAGGTAATACCCAGAGTGTTCCAAAGAAGAAAGAAAAGCTAAGAGTTCTTCTAGTAAAAAGTACATTCTTGAGAAGAATCAATCCTGCATTCTTAGCCTTTGGATTGGTCCAAGATGGTAATCCTCTAGATGACTGGTGGTCTGGATAATAGATGTCAGGTGATCTAAATATGGGACCATTCTTCCCTTAGTCCTTTAGGGAGTAATTAGAAGGTTATCTGAAGGTTAGATGTATATCCAGGCATCAATGCAGGCCTGGAAAGTTCAAAAGGTTAAGTACCCAGGCTAGTTAAAACAAGAATAGAATCATTTCCTCACACCTCAACCTACTTGATTTTAGTAATTTAGCAGTTTGACTATATGACTCCATTTTATTTCTTCACTCTATTCCTCACAGGTGACTCTGTAGTTTTGTTTTAAATTAATGAGTGAATCCAAATGAAATAATATTGTTAGTGAGTAATACTGTATCTCAGCAGGTTCATTGTTTCTTCCTCATTATCTCTTTCTACCTCTAATCATTCTGTTTTCCCTGTCTCTTCATTCCATTAGCAGTCTGGTCCTATCTCTATACTCAGTGCCGGGATCCTAATTCTCTTTAAAAGGGAATTAAAGGGAGGAAGGACTGTCTCCCCTCCTCCCTACCCCAAGCCTTTGAGATGTACGGGATCCCCAAATGAAGGAAGAGGGAGAGAGGAAGGGAGCGAGAACGAGAATTCATTCCCATTATCTTTTTCTTCAAAAGAAGGTATCTACAGAAACCAATGAACTCTTTTAAAATTGCCTCAAGACAGACAGACCGCTCAGCCCACCACACCTCTGCAAACTTCCTCGCATCTAACCAACACTTCCTTCTCCCTTCCCCGGAAACGGAAGGAGGAAAGGAAAGGCCCAAAAACCCCAGCGCTTTGGGGTTAGTTTCCCTCGGGTTTCGTGGTAGGCGGTGCTAGCAGGTCAGCACCGGCTGGTCAGCAGAGCCATCGCTCTCGCCCAACCCCACTTCCTATTGGTTTCCTAGGGCTCCGCCCCCTGAGCAGGGCGGGAGATTCAGTGTGCAGCAACCCGCCTCCCATCCCCCGCGGGCCTCCGGGGCACCCCTGGTCGACCCAGCTGCGGTACTGCTCCCAAAAATTTGGTCTTCCCCCTGGAAGCCGCCTTCCCTGCCGCGACCACTCAGCGGGGTAGCGTCGGGCAGGCGCCAAGCTGCTGGAGCCGCGCCAGGTGGAAACCTAGCGGTGCGTGGTGGAGCGCCGGTGCAGCCTGCCTCCCTCTCCTGCTTAGCTCCAAGCTTGTGAGGTGAGTCCAGAATGCGCCCAGCCCCGCGGGCGAGCTGGGGCGCTCCTGTTCCCGGGATTCCCCCCGGCACTCGGGGCAGGGTTCCTGCGCCTTCCTGTTTTACCTCCCCAGGCTACCCCCAGTCCCCGCGGGCACGAAGACCCCTGGGGTGGCCGGTTAGCAGCGTGAGGCCCGGGCCGAAGTCTGTAAATACTTGCTGGGGTGAGAGGCTCCCTCTGGAAAGGACTGTCTGTCCAGGAGGGATAGGCCTCTGTGCAAGGGACCCCTGTTACCAACATATTTGTTTCCCGGCGTAAGGAACCTTGTGATTGTCAAGAGACAAATGCAAAAATCTGTAACGAACGAAGTCAAGTGTCCTGGGAGAGGAGCAGGTACCATGAGGGCTGAGGAGGAGATCTCCTCCCAGAACTACCACTGGGGCAAAACCCTTTGATGAGATCCCAGACTGGAGGCACCAAAAGAACGCTGCTAACCGAACAGTCACCCTGGGACAGTGTTGATTATAAAACGTTGATAAGCCAGGCTCTTTGGGTACAGCTTTTTGAATTAAAAGGATGTTGATGCATTACTTGTCGTTTTACCATTGAAGTCCTAATAGAACCATCACACCTTCCCCTAGTTAAATTGCAATCTGAAGAAAAATAGCATGGCCCTACAACTTTGTATAATGGTACTGCATGATAAATGGACACCATTCATTCATCATGTATTCAGCACTTTTTCTGTTAGATGAGATAAAGAGATGTACTAGAGCTCTGCATGGCTAAGCTGAAGTTTAAAGTAAAAAATCCATAATAGCAACACTTAATTAGCATTTTCATATACCAAGCACATGACTTTATTTAATCGTCACAACTTTGTCCAAAGTCACACAGTTATTAAAATCAGAACCGAGGTTTATCTGATATTAAAATTGGTGCTTAACTACTAACCTATATCACCTTTTTAAAAGGATTGTTTTTCAAATTTGCAGTAAATCCTTTATTTGCTCTCAAAGGATGCGTTGCTGTTAACACTCATTTAGTGCTGCTGTACTGCCTTAACTCCTTGAAAGGAATCCACTTAAAAGTAAGCATCCAAGACAGTGTCTTGAAGAGTAAATGGTCACTAAATATTTGCATTGTATTGTATGATTGTTGGGTAGTATTTTTTTCAGAAATTCTTGGAGAAAAAGGAAAGTTTTTTTTTTTTCCAAGGTCTTTCCATAAATTTCTTCACTTTGGTGATTCTCTGCTATATAATAGATGACTTAAAATCTGAACAAGGAAATGACATATAAATACATTGGACTAGAAACAAGACTTAAGTCAGGTTGCCTCTGTCTGGTCAATTCTTATGTAAAATACCATAGGGAAATTGCCTAGGACAAATCTCAGTTTTCTAAAATGTTTGTTTTTAAATTTTTCTTGAAAATCTTTTTCCCCCCTGAAGGAACTACTAAACTTTCGCTCATGAGAATTATGTGACTGAACATTACTTATTTTTCACTTTGATTGCCAGAAAGCTTAAAGCCAGAATTCTTTCTATGATTTTATTTTCTGCTTTTCTTTATATTTTCCCTGATGCAGACTCCCTCTTTTTCTTTTTTTTTAAGATTTTTATTGGGGTATTGAGGGAAGGGAACAGTGTTGGGAATTGGGGAAGGAAGCCAAGTTGTTGTTCTTGAATCTTTGTTGTGGGGGACGCCAGTGGCCATCTTGCTTCCCGTCGGCAGCTTGTGGCCTCAGCTCAAGGTGCTGTGCTCATTCTTAGTTGCAGGTGGGCATAGCCACCACTCGTGGGAGTCGAACCAGCAGCCTTGTTGTTAAGAGTGCATGCCCTATCCACTGAGCCATCCAGGCAGCAGCTCAGCTCAAGGTGCCGAGTTCAGTCTTAGTTGCGGGTGGGCATAGCCCACCATGGAACAGGCAGTGTTGTTATACCAGCTGAGCCATCCTGCCACTTGTTGGCAGCTCAGCAACAGCTCAGCTTGGGCGCAGCGTCAGTGACCCATGTGGGAATCGAACCGTCGGCCCCATTGCTCAGAGCTCATGCTCTTAAGCCAACTCTTAACCAACTGAGTCACTCAGCTGGCCCCAGACTCCCTCTTGGTGTTAATAGTTTATCACTTGTTTTATTGCATTTGCTTATTGTCAGTGCTTCAAATCCTTTGTAGAACACAGCAGTATATAATTTAATATAATGTAGATTATGCTGCATCTGGCCATGCTCTTCAAAGTATGCTTGGTAAGAACTAGTGATGTTTAACCTAATGAACTGGAAACCTAGAGGAACTATAGAAGTCCTTGGATATTTGAACTGTCATGTGGGAAAATGGTTAAACATGTTATAAATAGTTTCCAGAGGTCAAAACAAACATTTAGGATAACAGATTTGTATTAAATGGCAGGAGAAGTATGTGATGGGATAGAATGATTAGGGACTTTGTAATTAGTCAAACTGGGGTTTCAGCTCTAACACACTTTCTAATTGTGTGAATTTGGGTGCGTGATTTAATATTTATCTCAGTTTACGCATCTATAAGTAGGGAGGTATATATACCCTCAAAAATGTATGCACATTTTAAGAAAGGAAAACTATTAAAATTGTAATACTCAAAATATACTGATGACAAAAGATGAATACAAGTCACGTTTGACTTCTGCAGCTACAAGAGGTGCTCAAAGTGGTTCCCATCAGCATCCAGACACTTCTGATTATGGCGAACTTCTGCTTGAACAAAGTTGACCAGTGTCCACTTGCATACATTTTTTTGGTACCCCTAACGTATACTCGTGTGTGTATGTGTATAATAACTACCTCAAAGAATCTGAGGGTTTAATAATCTGGTATACATAAAAGTGCCTAAAACAGTGCCTGACAAACGCCCTTCAAAAAGCTTTATTTTATATAAAGAAATTGTAAATTTATTTTATACATGTGTCATGTAGATGCATTAAACTTTTCCCCTAATATACCTAAATTCCCATAATAAAAAGTAGTATCATGACTAGAAAGATGACCCAAAAGAATATATTCTCCTGACAATGGTCATATAAATTATAGATGAAGTGTTATCTTTATACACAAAGTATAAACCTAATGTAATGGTTGTAAGGATTAAATGAGAATACATAATAATTTTCAAAACTGTGTCTAACACATAGTAAGTGCTCAAATTTTGGCCTCCTCCCTCTACCCATCTTTCCCTCCCCCTTCCCACCTCAATCCAGATCTTCTCAGTCTCCAAGGTTTCCTGCCGACAATGGCAATGGTCATTTTGCCCTTTACTATGCCATCATACCTTTGGCTTTGTAAGAAAGAACTGCATTTATCAATTCATCTTGTTTGTTAAGGAACATCTTTGGTTGCTTTTGTTTTCCTATTAGCTGATGCTGACTGAGTTCTTTTTCCAATTACAGGTGACTCTACCTGGATTTTCCAGCTGCACAATGTGTAGTATCTTTAAAGGTAAATGGAAACTTAAGACAAATAATTTAAGTGTGCTAGTTACAGAAGAAAACTTGGCAACACTTAGTAAGTTATCTGTATGCAAATAACTGACTCATGAGGAACACAGTCAGTAATTCTTGTCAAGAGAAAAAGCAAAAATAGGATTTTGAGAGAGAAAATTCATTTTTTGGATAAACTGATTAGCTGGCACCTAGTCGGAATCATCATTAATTAATTTGAGGCTATTAGTATTATCAGTTCTGAAGCTAAATTTTGTCCGAGTAGCAGGGTAGATTAAGCTGTTGCCTGCCAAACTCAAGTTTGTTCAGTGAAGATCTGACTATAAAGTACTGGAAGATGTATGCTTACTGTTTAGTCACCAAGACACCTAGAAAGCCATATTCATATTTGGCTTTCATGCAATAATAAAGTTGTAAAGTTGTTTGGCAAACATGCAATAATAGTAAAGGGAGGTGCTTGAGGATTATTGGATTCATGCTTGGTAACGCCAGTGAAGTACACATACTTCCAAATGGACTGTATCTTTCTAGTGAGCAGATACTAAAAACCCCCAAACTAGCATTCTTTGGTTTGGTTGCCCATTTTCTAAACTCATGTATTAACCATTCCTTTTCTGGTACTGTTGTTATTCTGTAGATTGGTTAGAGCTTTCTTAATGGGCAGAATTGTTTTCTTGTTATTACATTTCAGTTGCCTTGATTGGGTTTGACTTTTTCCAAGTTTCAGACACCTCTCTTTCATTTTTCAGATAAAGAATTATTACCTATTATCAAAAACATGATATTAATACAATAATGTACAATATATTTTTCATACTTAAGAGACTTCTTAAAATGTCATACATGTATTCATTATGTGAATGTTTATTTGGCTGTTGATAAGAATTTTTCATTACTTTTGAATGTTTTATTGCTTTGTTTAGGTTGGCAATGATGAATAAACTGGAATTAATGGAAGACAAGATGCTGGAGGTTCAGTTTGTGGGAGATGATGATGTTCTTAATCACATTCTTGATAGAGAAGGAGGTACTGAGTGATTATACAATTGAAGAAATAGATAGATACCTTTGTAATGGTTACGGATTATTTAACTTTTTAAAATATTTTAACCTATTTTGAACATATAGCACAAAGTATTTGATCTAGGAAAACTGTAAATAAAAACTGCTTTAGTTTTTAATTTATTCCTTTCAAACTTTATTGAAAATTAAAAATACTAAAGCCCAATCTAAAATGAAGTGCTCAGTAGTAGTGGTAAATAACTATCCATTGTAATTAAAATGTGTAATTAAAATTTGATCCCCCAAAATGTACACTTTTAAGTTTTTTGTTTTTAACTTAGAAACTGTGGATGAGTGGTCTGTACTTTAATCAAAGAGAAAACTGGATTTTTTCCCATCTTTGAAGTAATGACAATATAAGTAGTAGGGTTTGTTTACTTATTTAAATGTAATGTTTAGAAAGAATTTATACCTGTCACGTTCTAATTCTTTTTGTGTTCCTATAGGAGCTAAATTAAAAAAGGAGCGACCTCAACTTTTGGTCAACACAAAAAAAATAATAAAGAAGCCGGAACATGACTTGGAGGAGGATGACCATGAAGTCTTAAAAGATCAGAACTGTGTGCAAGTTTTAGGACAAAACCTTCAAGGTATTTGGTGAGGGAAGAGGGAATATACTTTCATATTTCTGCTAATAACCAAAATTGATTTGCAGGATATGTAAACGTAGTCTGGTAGGTTAGGCAATATTTTTTTTTTCTAATTTTTTTTTTACTGTAAGTACATATAACAGAAAATTTACCATCTTTACCATTTTTAAGTGTACAGTTCAGTTGTATTAAATACGTTCATGGTATTGTGCTGCCATCACCAACATCCATCTTCCTACAGGTTTTTTCTCTGCAGTTCTTTTTTATTTTTTTTCTTACAAACAACCAGTCTTGCACTTCATTATTTTTAGAAAGACAGGTTCTACAGACCAACCACTCTAAAGTTATTTTTAAAATATTTATATTTTTAACTAATTTGGAAAAATTTCATAAAGCAAGTAATTTCATTATTACCTTGATCTTCTTTACAGAAACAGAAGGAACATTTTAAGAAGTAATGTTGTCCCAACCTAGGCATGCCAGATTCCTGCTAGATTATACTTAAAATTTTGTAGGGTTGAATTATATTTCAGTTAGGACTTAAAGAGCACAGATTATATTAGGGTGCAAGGAGCACAGTTCTACTCAAGTTGGTTTAAAAATAAAGGTCAAGGAACGAAGTCAGTATTATTGGGCAGTAGGGTTATTGGAACTGGGACCGCATTAAAAACTGAGCGACTTTGCTTGCTGGATCTCCTAGTCTCCTATGCGTCATCTCTTGCATCTGTTCAGTTCTCTCTTTGCCACCTAGCTCCCTCATGTACATATTTTTTACTCTCTCATACTTGGCTTATAAATGGCCATCATGACTACTCCTGACCTTTTTGTCACTTCTTGAATCATAATGCTTCTGGTTTTGTTCCAGTGTTAAATGACATGATACCAAAAGTGATCACTGTCCCTCAATAGACTTAGTGGACAGGGTGGATTCTCTGAAAAGTTCCCAACTAGAATGTTGATATTTTTAGGGCGTATTCTAAATAGAACTTTGGATTCTTGACGACCTATTATGCTAGACCTAAGAAGAGATTGAAAGCAATAGTCAAAAAAAAAAAAAAAAGTATTTTCTTAAAAATTGTTTTTTATTGTAAAAGTAATACATATTTATAGTAGAAACTCAGTGCTTCCTACCTTTTTCACCTAATAGCACCCACAACAAATAATATTTGGAGGCACACTGAAATTGAGGAGAATTCGCCAGACTAGGGACAAATGAAACTCGAGGGCTTCTGAACCCTATTCCCACCCACTCTGCAGTCCCTGACTGGCATCCTCAAAGGCCTAATAGCATCAATATTCAGCACACCTGTTACCCATACCTTTAATTTCTGTACACTGGTTGGGAAATTTTGCCTTAAAGCAGTGTTTCTCAACCTTTTTTTTTAATCATCCCCTGAAGTAGCCTTTTTAGACATTTTCTCCTAATCATCCCCATCCATGAAATTTTAATACTATGTATATGCTATATGTCTGTTTATGTGCTATGACTCTTTGGAGGGCCACAGACCATTGTAATATCTAAAACGTTTTTTACACCCACCTCCTCCCACCAAAGAGCCAATTTTCATTCCATCAGTAGAAATATTGTTCCTGTTGAGAATGCATGCTTTAGAGAACATGGAGCTATTAACAATTTGGTGTGTATCTTTTATCTCTGTAAATGCATTCATACACATAAGCTGTGTCAGCAGTCTGTTGAGTCGAAGTGGAGCCATTCATTTGGCTATAGGAATGTACAACAGAGAAGCTCGTCACTTATAGTTAAGTCTTGCAGACATGACTCTTGTTTTGATTAGATTTTTGGGTTTTGGTTTTTTTTGCCAAAATGTGTTTGGGGGTGGAGAGTGGTATTCCAGATAAGATGTAAAAAGAGTTTTCTTTTAATTTTTTTTTTTCCAGGGAAGAAATGGTGATATCTCTCTGTCTTCTTTAATCTTATTTAGATATTGAACAATAGGCTTCTGTTTAATCTTTTATTATAAACAGAAAACAAGTACTATTTTTAAAACAGAGGAACATTTGACCAAGAATCTTTAGTAATCATTAAAAAAGAAAAAGACTTTTCAATAAGGACTTTTGAATACTTTACTAATTAATCCCTCTCCTTACTATTGAAGTGTAAGCTGTTTCTTATAAGCAACACGTATCTTGACATGCTTGGCATAATTCTCATCATCTATTAATGCATCCCAGCTGGAGAAAAATCTTTGCATGGATATGCTGCGTGATCTCAGGCATTAAATAAAAGAGCAATTTGTCTTATCAGTGCTTTTTTTTTTTTTAGTTGGGGAACAGTGTGTTTTTCCAGGACTCATCAGCTCCAAGTCAAGTAGTTGTTTCAATCTAATTGTGGAGAGTGCAACTCAGTGGCTCAAGCAGGGATCGAACTGGCAACCTTGGTGTTATGAGCATTGTGCTCTAACCCACTGAGCTGACCAGTTGCCCCTTATCAGTGCTTCATTTGAATAGTTGCTTTATTTTTTAATCTTATGAACAGAGTAATTCTATAATTGATTCTTTATAAGTTGGCTGCTAAAATATTCTGAGACAAATACTCGTACGAGTAATACATTTAATTTAGCCATATTCGTAATTCCTTTTTTTTTTTTTTTTAAGATTTTATTGGGGAATTGGGGGAGGGGAACAGCGCTGGGGAATCTGGGGAAGGGGAACAGACAAGTTGCTGTTGTTTTGTTCTTCAGTCTAGTTGTGGAGGATGTTGCTTCACTGGCCCAAGCTGGCACCATCATTGTGCTCTTCCTGGGTGAGACAGATCAGTCGCCGGCCTCTGGACGGCCGCTCACAGCGGCTGCTGGCCGCTCACGCTGGCTGCCGGCTACACATGGTAGCTTATGACAAACCACTGCAGCAGGGGACTGCAGCCTACGCCGTCGCTGGCGACCTATGGCAGCCCAGCTCCAGGTCGAGCTGTTGTTCAGCATCTTAGCTGTAGAGGGCAGTGTCACTGGCCCTCATATGGGATCTGAACCGGGTCCCTCTGGCTCTTAACCATCGCGCCACTCGGCTGGCCCTCGTAGTTCCATTTTTGAACTTAAGGACTACGTCAGAGTTTACTTTGCGGTTAAGTTAAAAAGAAATGTATTTTTACAAGTTGTAAAATGTATATAACAAAATTTATCTTAACCATTTTTAAGTGTATAAGTTCAGTATTAAGTACATTTACATTATTTTGCAACCAGAACTCTTTTCATCTTACAGAGCTGAAATTCTGTACCCATTAAACAATTCTTCAGTCCCCCTAGCCCCTGGCAACTACCATTCTACTTTATTTCTCTATGAATTTGACTACTCTAGGTACCTCATATGAGTGGAATCATACATTATTTGTCTTTTTGTGACTGGCTTATTTCACTTAGCATATCTTTAAGGTTCATCCACGTTGTAGCGCGTGTCACAATTTCCAATTTGTGGATAAATAATATTGCATTGTATTCATATACCACATTTTGTTTATCCATTTATCTGTCAATGGACATTTGGGTTGCTTCGACCTTTTGACTATTGTGAATAATAATGCTGCTATAAACTGCATGTACAGATATCTCTTTGAGACCCTGATGTGACTTCTTTTGGGTGTATTCCCAGAAGTGGAATTACTGAATCATATGGTAATTCTATTTTTAATTTTTTGAAGATCTGCCATACTATTTTCCACAGCGGCTATAGCAATGCACGTTTCTACTAACAGTGCACAGGGTTTCAATTTCTCTATAGCCTCACCAACACTGTTTTCTGGTTTTGTTTTTTTGTTTGTTTTATAATAGCTATCTTAATGGGTGTGAGGTGGTAGTGTTTCTTCTTTTTAAATTTAACATACTGTTAAATTCTTAGAGATTATACTCTTTACTAAAAGAACTTTAATAACTGAGTAATATTGCATTCTAATCTATAATATGTTTTTGTCTATTAGACTTTTGGGTTGTTTCTAACTTTTTATTGTAACCAATGCAGTAGTGATTACCCTTGAACATAAATCTTTGTATAGATTTCTTATTTTTTTATAAGAGACTCCTAGAAGTGAAATTACTGGTGAAAGTGCATGAATTTTATAAGGCATACATATTGCCAAATTGCTTTCTAGGAAGATAATATCAACTAGTATTAAGGTCCCTCATCAGCATTAAACATTTTTTTCTTATATTTATCAGCTACTTTAACTTCTTCTTTGAATTATATATTCATAGTTATTTGGTATTATATATTTTAAGTAATGTAAAAATTATTTAAAAGTTTTATATATATAATGTAAAGACAGCTTGGTCAGTGTGATTAGAACCATTGTTAGTTGGTCAGTCAATCAAAATATCAGAATCAGGAAATCATAAAAATAATTTAAATACTCTCAACATTTTGTTTTACTTATAAACATGTGTATATGTGTGTGTGTACACACACACACGAGTCTTTCCTTTGAGTATAAGTATTCCAGAGGCCAGTTGGTTGAAGAACAGCATCACTTTCTGTTTTTTGGTTTTGTTTTGTTTTTGTTTTTTTTTCAGATCGAATGTCCATCATGCATCATCTAGGATTTCAGGTTTCATTTCTTTCCATAAGCGCAATCATTTAAAGACACTATTTTTTTTTTTATTCAAGTTTATTGGGGTGACAATCGTTAGTAAAATTACATAGGTCTCAGTACAATTCATCATCTATATATCTTAAAGATACTTTTGATGCAATCTGAGTGCATTGTGCTTTTATGTTTTTCAAATTATTTCTTAAATATTTTATGGTTTCTCATCCATACCTAATTTGAAACCAGTTGTTCTAGTTAATAGCTTTTATCATGTATTTCTAAAGCATTAAATTTAGTTTACATAGAAACTACTTTACTCTTTTAAATTTATAATTTGTCTGTGTGCCAAACACTTGAGTTACATAACTGCAGTAACAAGTTATCCATAAACAGACTCATGCGTATGTGGAAACTAGATATATGATAGCAGTAGCATTGCAGATCACTCAGCTAAGGATTAATTGGTCAGTAAATGGTATAGGGACAATTGAGTATCCTTATGAAAAATAAGAAATTGGATCCCTGTCTCCTGTCATAAACATAAAATTTAATATGTTAATTAAAGATGTACACATGAAAAGCAAATTGTAAACGGTTTTGTAAGAAAATATAAGAGACAGCTGACCGAGTGGCTCAGTTGGTTAAGAGCTCGCTCAAGAGTGCAAACTTTGAGCAACAGCGGTTCGATGCCCAGACCAAGCTGAGCTGCCGCTGAGCTGCCAACAGGTGGCAGGATGGCTCAGCTTAAAAAAAAAAAAGAAAATATAAGAGAATATGGTTTTGATTTGGATTATAGAAGAATCTCTTTTAAAATGTGTAATCAAATGAAAAAATTGACAAATTCAACTAATTAAAATTCACTGCTTTTCAAGAAGACAAGTCAGACTAGGAGGAAATATTTGTAAAAGACATACCTGTTAAAGAACTACCCTCCGAAATATACAAAGAGCTCTTAAAACTCAACAGTAAGAAAACAAACAACCCTAATTGGGGCAAAGGACCTCAGTGTCTCACCAAAGAAGATACACAGATAGAAAATAAACATATAAAAATAAACATATAAAAGATGTTCAACATTGTCATTAGGAAATGTAAAAAACAATGAGATATCACTTACCTATTAGAATGGCCCAAATCCAAAACATTGACAGTACCAAATGCTGGCAAAGATTTGGAACAACAGGAACTTCATTGCTGGTGTGAATATAGAATGGTGCACCTCTTTGTGCCGAGACCCATCCGGCTTCCAGTGGCCACCTGGTGTGCACTAGCCAGGTACCTAGGGGGTCCCTGAGTGGACTGGGTGGGAGATTGAGAGATGGAAGAAATCAATAGAAAAGAAAGACACAGAGACAAAAGCTGGGATCAGGAGGGACATTCTGCCATGGGTGGCAGAGAGTCCCCCCGTTAATTGGATGCACACTGGTTATATAGAAAGCAGTTTCCCCTTTTGTAAGGGAAAATTCCCTTACAGCATAGGGACTTTTGGCAGGGAGGTTTTGGGGAATGGGGAACCAATGTCCCTTACATCAGGTTTTGGGGGTTTGGAGAAACAATTTCTCCTAGCAACAGGTTACATGATTACACCAATGATATATTTTAAGCAAGGTCAAACTGAGACAATTAGAAACTGTCAGCAAGTCCATGGCGGAAAGTCTCAAAGCATGTGAGTCCATATTTATTTATTTATTTATTTATTTATTTATTTATTTATTTATTTATTTATTATTTCCTTTATGATTTTATTAAAAATATAGCTAACATACATTGTTACATTAGTTTCAGGGGTACACCATAGTTTTTCAACATTTATGTACGTAAAGAATTGATCACCATGGAATGTGCAGGAACCATCTGATATCGTACCATGCTATCACAATATTGACTGTGTTTCCCATTTGTACATTACATTCCTATAAATTACTTGTTTTATAGCTTGAGATCTGAAAGTCTTATTCCCTTTCAATTTGCTCCCCTTTTAAAAATTTTCAATTACAACTGCATTCAATATTAGTTTGTATTAATTTCAGGTATATAGCACTGTGGTTAGACATCTATATAATTTAAGAACGATTCCCCTGACTAGTTTAGTAGCCACCTGGCACTATACATAGTTATTACCATATTATTGAGTGTATTCTTTTTTTTTTTTAAGCTGAGCCATCCTGCCACCTGTTGGCAGCTCAGTGGCTGCTCCGCTCGGGCCGGGACTCGAACCGCTGTTGCTCAAAGTTTGCACTCTTGAGCGAGCTATTAACCAACTGAGCCACCCGGCGTAGTCCGAGTGTATTCTTTATGCTTTACTCTACATCTCCATGAGTGTGTTGTAACTACCAATTGTACTTATTAATCCTTTCACCTTTTTCACCCTGCCCTGAAACTCCTTCCCATCGGTCACTCCAACAAATTCAGTACCCATCTGACACCATACATAGTTACTACAATACTATTGGTGAGTCCATATTTAGATGAGTGCTTTTAGAAGGTCCAGTGATGTCAGCTCCAGGAGACTTCTGCTTTTCCATGGCACAAGAGATGAACTAAGATGTCTCTCCAGCAGTTCCTCTTTTTGCTGTTCACCCAACATGAAGTTCTGCAGCTTTCTCTCAGCATACAGAACATGGAGGCCTGTAGCCTTCTCAGGTTGCCAGCCTTACTGAGCTTAAATGGCTCCCAACATCTGTGGAAGACAGTTTGGCAGTTTCTTACAAACTGAACGTATTCTTACCATATGACCTAGCAAGTATGCCCCTTAGTATTTACTCAACTGAGGTGAAAACATATGTCTACCCAAAAACCTACAAATGTTTACAGCAGCTTTGTTCATAATTGCCATAATTGCCTCAGAAGCAACCAAGAAGTCAACCAAGGTTAATCAAGCTGATATCCATACAATGGAATATTATTCAGTGCTAAAACAAAGCAAAACAAAAAGCTATCAAGCTATGAAAAGACATGGAGGAACCTTAAATGCATATTATTAAGTGAAAGAAGCCAACCTGAAAAGTCTACATACTGTATGATTTCAACTCTACAACAGTCTGGAAAAAGCAAAACTATGGAAACAGTTAAATGATCAGTGGTTGCCAAGGGTCAAGGAGAAGGGAGGGATGAATAGGTGGAGCACAGAGGATTTTTAGGGCAGTGAAACTATTCTGTATGATACTATTGGGTTCTCGGAAAAGTCATGACGCACTTTTGAAACGAAAAACAGAAAAAATATGTCATGACTTTTTCGACAACCCAATATAATGGCGACTACTTGTCCTCATATTTTTGTCAAAACCTATAGCATGTATAACACTAACAGTGAACCCTAATACAAGCTATGGATTTTAATGATGTATCAAAGAAGTTTCATTGATTGGAACAAATGCACCACACTGTGTGATATTGATAGTGAGGGAGACTGCATATGTGGGGGTAGGAGATGTATGGGAAATCTTTGTACCTTTCACTCAAGTTGACTGTAAACCTAAAACTGCTGTAAAACATAAAGTCTTAAAAAGTCAGTACGTCTGTTCATCAGATGACACAATAACAAGTGAAAGACAAGTCACAGGATAGAGAAGGTATTTCTTCTGGAAATAATAGGTGAAAAGATGTTCAACTTTCTTAGTTATTAGGAAAAGGCAAATTAAAATACCTCTCCCATGAGACTCTTTTTTTTTTTCCCCCGTGAGACTCATTTTACAACCACTGGATTGGCAAAGATTAAGGAGTTTGGATAATACCAAGTTCGTGCATATACAAATCAATGGGAACTCAAACAATAAGGAGCGCAAACACTGACTTTGGAAAAGTTTGGCACTGTTTTGTAATAATAATAAAAAATACCTATTAAACGAAATCTCACATTTAGCTGAAAAACAACTATTTCCAAAAAAATTAGTGAAGAGGGCATTGTTTTACATTTTTGCAAATCTCTTGAATGTCTGGCTTAATAGAAGACAGCTGGATTTTCATATCTGCTTCCATACATTCCAGTAGCCAACTAGGTGGTGATGTCATTAGACATCTTGTAGTCTCTGGAATACTTCACTATACACCCTTGATTGAGAGTCAGTAGGTCAAATGATGTCTGTGCTATTATGAAATAGTTTTGGCCTGAGGGACCTCGGAGACCTCCCAGACCACTGTGAGAATTGCTGTGCTAGAGAGTAGCCTACTAGCCATGAGTGTCTAGTATGTTGTAAGTGGCAGTTGTTATTTAACGGGAAGATTAAAGAATGAAATTAAGTCAAGGCCTTAATTGAAAGTTAGAGAGCTTCTACCATATAACAACTATTTAAATCTCAACCTCAATTAGCAATGTACTTTGCATGTTTGCTTCAAGAAGGAAACATAACTAATAAAGTTGCTTCTGTCCTCCCTGCTCAGGGGCAACTGCTATCATGAATTGACTACATATCCCTCTAGCCTGGAGGGGTTTTTTTAGTGGGCTTTTTAAAAAAAAAGTGTGTGTGTGTATGTGTATGTGAATAATAATATGTTTTTTATATAAAAGTTATATATTCTCTTTCAGAATCTTTGAAAAATGGCTCTGCTACAGATGGTGGGAATAAAGTTTATTCTTTTCAGAATAGGAAACACCCTGAAAAGATGGCCAAATTAGGTATGTTGTTTTTCTGATTTCTTTAAACACTATTCACCTTTTCTAAGAAGGTGTATTTAACCACATTCCCCACAGTTATCATCCAGTGCATTCCCAAAGAACGAGGGACATCATTTTATATTAAATTATCAAGCATACTTAAAGTCATTAGTTGTTTTTTTTTTCATGCTAAGCTGTCCTCTTTTCTCAGCTAGGTTAAAAGCTTCTCTCAGAGGGATAGTAGACTGGCGGGGAGTGGGTATCACTTTGTGAGGGGTATAAATGTCTATTACATTGTTTTGTACACCTGAAACTAACAACAACAGAAAAAGCTTCTCATAATAGAAACCCTGTCTTCCTGTCTTCCCACAACATCTAGCATAGGTTCTTATCAGTCTCTTGTTAAGTAAATGAGTGACTTAAGTCACACAGAGATATTCTGAATTTATTGAGTAGGAATTTTACACTGTATATAGAAAAATGTTTGTATTATAGAAAACTATTTATATAAAATTGTTAGGAATAGGTTGTTCTAACATTTTTCTTACCCAAGTTACCACTTACACCAATTACACATAAATTATAGATTTTCAGAGAACTTGATTATAATAAATTACATATAACATTAAAGTGTTGATTTAATTCTTTTAAAAAATTCAGATGGCACTATATTTGGATCCTGTGGTATTAGGGGTCATCATTTTTGAAATCCTTGAGAAAAGGAAAGGACATGTGAAAGCACTTTGAAAATTAAGGAGGTCCATATGAAGGTTTGGGAATATCAAAAAGTCAAGAGCAGTGGAATAATAATTACCTAAAATGTAATGGTTGTGTAAGAGGGCTTATAATCTACAATTATAAAGCACCTACATGTATTTCTTAAGTGATATTTTTATGCAGTCATTCTAGCCAATGACCTTGTAAATGTTCAAGGTCAGGTGAAAATCACTCATGTTAAGTGTTGACACTGATGCAGGACATCATATAAGAAGTAATTATGAGACCTGTGTTTCTGAACATAATACGATTCAGTCATTTGCAAAATTCAGTTTTTCTGAAAGGTGTAATATTAAATACATCATTAATTTTGAATGAAACATGGTACATACAGTCATTTACATTAATTGATGTATTTCTTATCTACATCAAGAAATTAAGTTTTTCGATCTGTGAAAATGACTGAGTTCTGTGTAGGATCTCTGAGAAACCAGAGACAAAATGCTAATGTAATTAATTATTAGAGGAAAGATCAGATAGATACCAATCGACCAAAATGAGCCCTAGGCCAATGAAGCAGGACAGAGAACATTGGAGAAGGAGGAGAGCTAATGGTGAAAAGAAGAGTGGAACCCCAGAGAAGTAATCACGTAGACGTTCTCCTAGTAGATCATGAACATGCACATAACCATGATGATATGTGTCTTATATCTGTATGTGCTGTAAGAAACTTAAATGTTGTGCATTTAAGAAATACGCAGTTGTGAAAAGATAGTTACCTGGATAATTTGAGACTAATTATATTTTTCAAAATCTGTGTTTAGTTAGAAACTTTCTTTAAAGAGTTTCTTCCATTTATAAGTATTACTGCTAATTTTAATCTAAATGCTAATTTACATCTAAATATATCAATAAAATAGAATGCCTTAATATTTTTATTTTTATTTTTTTTAAAGATTTTATTGGGGAATTGGGGGAGGGGAACAGCGTTGGAGAATCTAGGAAGGGGAACAGACAGGTAGACAAATTGCTGTTTTTGTTCTTCAGTCTAGTTGTGGAGGACGTCGCTTCACTGGCCCATGTTGGTATGATCATTGCACTCTTCCTGGGTGAGGCAATCAGTTACCAGTCATTGGTGGGTGGCTCACGGCAGCTCTCGCCCGCTGCCAGCCGCTCACGTAGCTCACGGAGCTCACTGCAGCCCTGCTGGCAGCGTACACCATTGCCTGGGACTCACAGCAGCCCAGCTCCAGGTTGAGCTGTTGTTCATCATCTTAGCTGTAGAGGATGCAGCGTCACTGGCCCTCAATGTGGGATCCAACCACGGCCCTGCTGCTCAGAGCTGGCGCTCCCAAGGCAGCTCTAATCAGCTGAGCCACTCAGCTGGCCCGTTAATATTTTTTAAATAACTTAAGATCTGCCAGAAACTCATATTACTATGTATAAATGGTAATTAAATATAATTGGACTAACCATGATATAGGGCTAGAAATAGACTAGGGGTTAGATTGGAAGGCTTTGGAAAATACAGAGAACATGTCCAGTATGAGTAAGGAAATGCAAATACAGAACAAAGGCAGAATTACTAATTAGAAAGGAGGGTGAGAATTTCAACCAACTTGGAGAAAGATGACTTTAGGGAAATTGAAAATAGATTGGTTAGATAGTATCAGATAATCTGATGAGAAGCTATCATTAGGCAAAGAGGTATTTTATTTTAAAATTTCCAATATGTTGCAGACCAGTTGTATAAAATACAATACAAATGAATTATTAGAAAAATGAAAATAAAAAGACATATGCCCCAATTTTTTATCATTAGAGTATCCATATTACTGTCTTGTTCTTTTTCCTCTTCACCTCTTTCTTTTTCTTCCTTTTTCCTTTCATAGTTTAATAGTTATTTAAAAGCAGATAATTTTTATGTTTTAATATTAAACCAAAATGATCTCAGCTAAATTACTTTGTACTTGTGTGACTTTTTGTTGATGTGAAGTTGTTTTCCCTATCCTGTGGACCAGCAGCCTTTCATCTAAAAACAGTGTATTGTTCTCGTGAAAGAGAAGACCAAGGCATAAGCCTTAGTCATACCTACAGGAGTAGACTTTTGGGAAGGATGAAGACTGAAAAAGAGATGGAGTAACTACCAACAGTAGCCAGGGCACCAGGGTAATGTCATAGAATCCAAATGGAAGAGTAATTTCAAAAAAAGATTTAAAAATCTCGAGTGAATGATACAGAGGACCAAGGAGGTTTATCAAAAAGAAGCCAGTGCATTTGTGGGGACTCTCGTGAGTCTCTTGGGTCAGCTTCAAGGTTGGAGGATGAAACTGGGAAACAGGTTAGAAAGACTGAGTCAGCAAAGTGGCTTAACTTACACAAATTCAACAATATTTTCTTTTTCTTTTTTTGTTGAAAAGGGGAGATAATTTAATGTGTACCTTTCTTCTAGATGAACAGTGTCCCGGTATCTGTGAACTTGGCAAATGTAAATCTATTCCTTCATGAGTCCCATTTCCCACATGCCTCTCACAGTGTGAGAATGTGAACATCTTTAAAGATAAAGGTTATATTTTTTCATTTAAAATGGCCCCTTCTGTTTAGCAGCCAACTATTTTGGCTAATGCTCAGTTGAAGAAACAGCCATCTTTTCAGTACTATATTATATTTTATACATTATTCACATGTACTATATAGTTTTAGAAACCAAATAAAATCTGCAGTTAAGGGGAGATGTAATTTTAAAAATACACAATTTTTACTGATTTGAGATCTCACATTTTGACCATTCTTTCTAACAAAGATGTGCCTCAAGTTCATATGGTAAAGAAATGGAATAAGCTTGTCAATGGAGAGGGAAGGGAGAGCATATGATAATTAGAGAAAGCAGCAAGGTCAAAGTTAGTTTTTTTGTTTGTTTGTTTGTTTTTTAAAGATTTTTATTGGGTAATTGGGGGGATGGGAACAGTACTGGGGAATTGGGGGAAGGGGAACAGACAAGTTGCTGTCGTTTTGTTCTTCANGGTATGGAGATGGGGAAGTTAGAGGGCCAGCAGTGCAGTTCTCCACAGATACTAAAATTGGAAATGAAAGTTCATAGGTGAGATAACATTCCAGAAGTCACACTCAAGTGTGAGTATGCTCTGATGACTACTGGAAATGTTGCTAGTGTTTTATCTGTTTTTTCAGGGCTGGCTCTAAACTTCAGAAGGAATGAGAGAAATTTTTTTTTTTTTTTAGATTTTATTGGGGAGTTGGGGGAGGGGAACAGTGCTGGGGAATCGGGGGAAGGGGAACAGACAAGTTGCTGTCATTTTATTCTTCAGGCTAGTTGTGGAGAACGTTGCTTCACTGGCCCATGTTGCTATTATCATTACGCTCTTCCTGGGTGAGGCAGATCGGTCGCCGGCCCCTGGACAGCTGCTCACGGCGGCTCTTGGCAGCTCACACTGGCTGCCAGCTGCTTACACTTGCTGCCGGCCACACATGGTAGCTTATGGCAGCCCACTGCAGCAGGAGGTGCAGCCTACGGCATCGTCGGTGACTCACGGCAGCCCACCTCCAGGTTGAGCTGTTGTTCACCATCTTAGCTGCAGAGGGCAGCGTCACTGGCCCTCGTGTGATCTGAACCGGGGCCCTGCTGCTCAGAGCTGGCATCCCAAGCCAGCTCTTAACCAGCGCGTCACTCGGCTGGCCTGAGAGAAATTTTTTAAACTACTTACTTAGCAGTGTTACTTAAAACTTGTCCTATTTCTCTTTAAATATGTGGATAAATAAAATCTACAGGCCAGAGTGCCTAGAATGTTGATTGCAATTCTAGTTGGAGAAAAAAAGTATTTTACTTAAAGGATAAAATCATGAAAACATGGTAGTGCTAGGATAAAAATGCACATACAGCTTTTTACTAGAGTTTTCATTTTAAAAAATGAGCTATATTTGACTCACCAGCATGAATTTCCAAGCTTTGGGTTCAGGNGCAGTGTCACTGGCCCTCATATGTGGGATCCAAACCGGGGCCCTCTGGCGTCCCAAGCCAGTTCTTAACCATCGCGCCACTCGGCCGGCCCCAAAGTTAGTTCTTTATTGTATTTTTTTTTTTGAGAAACCTATGGATAATTGAAGGAATACTTGAAGATGCTTGGAACACAGAGAATAAAGGTGAAAAAGTAGTAGTCTTAATATTGGTAGGTTTGTTTATCTTTCTGATAATAGTAGCAAGCAGTTTATTTTTTCTTTTAAGAATTTAAGTAAAATAAGGCTTTTTCCCCTTTACTATTGTCCATTAAAAGGTCTTTTATGTATGTTTTTTGTTTATAGCTTCAGAACTAGCAAACACACCAAGAAAAAATGTATCATTTAATTTGAAGAATGATCCTGAAGTTATGATTAACATTCCTCAATGTAGCAAGGGTAAGAATTTATATCAGTTCTTTGAAGAGAGTTTTCATAGTTGCTTCAAGTTATAGTACGTTACTTTTTTCCCGCTGTCATAAGTGAATTTTTATATGTTCTTTTCTATTCTGAAAATTCATCCAACAAAATGCAGTTAATTACCCAACCTGTGTGCCTTTGTATACCTACATATAGCTATCAATAAAGGGAAAATATCTGTGCTGGTTGAAGTTGTGCAAATTGACAGGGCCAACTGGAAACAGTCTTAAAATCCTGTTGTCACTTGCTTGAGTTGGCCAAATGTTCATGGAAGATTTGCTTTGGCAAATACTTGAAATAGGGCTTTGGGGGTTTGAAAGTCTTATAGTTTGTTGAAAACTGTTTTTGAGTGACTCATTCCAACTAAGTTAAACTGTACTTTTTAAATAATGAACAATGGAAAGGGCTCCATTTTTTCTTGTTATATCAATGCTACAGAAATGCAGGACATAGCTGTCCCTAATGGCAGTAATCATATAATTAATAGTGACAATTCAGCCTCTATTGGAGATGCAATTAATTGAGAATTCAATAATGTATGGCGGCTTCTGAGTAGAAACTGCAACTTTGTTTTTAATGAAACTGGACTGTGACAAAAAGTAAAGTACTCATAGTAAGTAATGGATTTTGTTTCATTCTTTAGGACATTCCACTTCAGACAAGGTTCAGTTGAAGTTGAAGGTAAGCAATTGACTAAAAACAAGTAAAAACCTTAGTGTTAACCTTAGTGTAAGATGTAATGAAAAATATCAATTTCATCTCTTAATTTATATAGTGCTTTATAATTTATAGGTATTTGCCAGTTTAATACCTACCTTATAGATGAAGAATCTGAGGTTCAGAGAGGTGAAGTGACTTGCCTTATGTCACCTCACTAGGAAGGAGAAAATGAAGCCAGGTCTTTTGGAACTAACTGTCACGCCTTTTCAGTGTCAGAACTACCCCTGGGTATTTTCAACTTAGTGGAATTGATCTGGAAATTTTATGGTTTTGTTTTGTTTTACTTTTGTATATAATGTTCTGTTGTTTCTTGGGGGATTGGTCCCAAGATCCATTAAATCTATTAGTCTATCCTTTTATAATTTACATTTGAAAGCTAAACTTTGGTCAGTTCACTCCAGGGTAGCTGAAAGGAATTGACAGTTTTTATCCCCTCCTTTGTGTTCTGTGGTTTTGTTTTTTCATTACGCTTTCTCAAGTGGCCCTGCCAGAATGTGGGCAAGCCCAGAGGGGCAAAGACAAATCCAGGACAATATTATAAGTGGTGAGTGTGTCCAGGTCTGCATGGCTACAGATTTAGGCATGCCTAGACTTCCATACAGACTAAGTTCAGGGAACCCTTTCTAAGAATGTGAGTATAGACATTCAGGGCCATGGTTACGGCCTCTGCAAGAATATTCTATTTAGGTCATCTAGGTATGGGGTTAGACATGTCAGTCTCCTTTGTCTTTAATAATGCTTCTTTCCTGTATTATATCTTGTATATGTTATCACCATAAAAGAATAAAACTCATTCCCATCATCCAGGCAATAATTTAGGTATATTACTAAGTTCTTTTTCAAGTTGTGGATCACAGTACTTTAGTAGAGCATCTCGATTCCCCAAGGGACCATCAGAAAACCTGTTACTAATTCAAGCTATTATACCAACCACAATAAGACAGCATCACTATGACGGAGCCTTAATGCACAATCTTAGACGGGAAAGTTCAGGAACCAATATGTATAGGGCTTGGGGATCTGGACTCAGGAGGTTTAAGGCCTGTCTGTCAAGATGGGGAACTGATCTGTATTAGACAAAATTCATGACATGATATTTTTGGTTTGGTGGACAGGAAGGAGAAGGTCTTGAGCTAAGTCTTGGTAAGTAAACTGTTGTTTGATAAGCAAACTTTTTGCCCTGGTGAGTAATCTGTTGTCCTGGTGGGAGAACTAGGTTGCCCAAATGAGCAAACTGTTGGGATAAATTACTTTGCAAAATTTTCTGTAACAAACAGCGAAGTTATTTATTAGTTTATACTCTTATCTTTTTGAGAAAGAATTTTCTGAAATGGTTATTTTGACACAGGTGTTTTCAGACCTGATAATTAAGCTATATGGACGCAGGTTGCCTCAGCTCTCAATCTTAAAAGCAATATAGTAGCACATGGCCTGCAGTTTAAAAAAATGAAAAAGAATAAAATAGAAAATTTCTGTTTTGTAAGTATTATTTCTTTATAATTTATTTCAGGTATATATGCACGTGTACTGGATCATGATGGCAAAATGTAAAAAATTCTTTAATCTAGATCAAAAAAGTTTGAGGCATAATGTAATATACTTCATGTACCCATAGGGTTCGGCTCAATTATTATAGTACTATTCTTAATATCCCAAATAGAAATTTATTAACATTTATAACTAGTACCAACAACCTGTCACAAGACAGCAGCCTTAAATATTTTGTCATATTTTCAGATTGCCCCAAAACAAAGATATTTTCTTTTTATTGATGCCATTAAAAATTAATATGTAAACAACAGTGGACATTTTAATGTACTAGAAATGTAATGGTGTTAAAGTATTCAGTGAGAAAAAAATACATAACTTATGCTTTTTAAAAATGTTTAAAATTTTTAAAATACAAAAGTAACAAGTATTACATAAATCTGTTTCTCTTCTCTCAGAATATAATATTTTAACACCAATAAATTTCCAGCACATTAAAAGGCCCATTGTCATATGCATAGGAATGTCCATTTCCTTGCTTACTCATCATCACCTTTAAAAAAACATATTCTGCTAATCTGATGGGTGAAAAGTGGTTCAAAAGGCTGACATACTTATATGGTTTTTTATTTTGTTTTGGTTTTTTTTAATAGAATAATAAAAGTACATACATACCTTATAGTTGTCTGGAATATGACTTCTAAAGTCACTTTAGAAAGCCTTTGGATTTTGTTGTATTGGTTTTTTTTTTTAAAGATTTATTGGGGAATTGGGGGAGGGGAACAGCATTGGGGAATCGGGGAAGGGGGACAGACAAGTTGCTGTCGTTTTGTGCTTCAGTCTAGTTGTGGAGGATGTTGCTTCACTGGCCCATGTTGGTATTATCATTGCGCTCTTCCCGGGTGAGGCAGTCACTTGCCGACCATTGGACAGCAGCTCACGAAAGCTCACGCCAGCTGCAGCCTATGTCACCGGCGACTCACAGCAGCCCAGCTCCAGGTTGAGCTGTTGTTCACCATCTTAGCTGTAGAGGGCGCAGTGTCACTGGGCCATGTGTGATCCAAACCCTGGCCCTGCTGCTCAGAGCTGGTGTCCCAAGCCAACTCCTAACCAACGCGCCACTTGGCTGGCCCTGTTGTATTGTTTTTTGTTGTTTTTTTCCATTAAATTCATTTGTCATTGTTTTCTAGTTCTAGAAACCAGGCTCATCTAGTTCTAATGCAGTCTGTTGAAAACAAAATATTTTTCTTCCTTTTTAGCCTCTTTCACTCAGATCCATCATTAATTTCCATGTCCTCATTATTATTTGACTAAACTATATTGCTTTTTTATTTTTAAACAGAAGAATGATAAAAGTGAAATTCTGTCAACAGCACCTAGTGGTCTAAGGAAAACATTAATAGGTATGTATTTTTTTTTTAATGCTGAGTTTTTATAAAAAGAAGCGTGTTAACAAGGGCAATGATAGTTAAGTATATGGGTTCTAGTCTTAGGCTACTTGCTTTTTATCTTTGGCCAGCCACTTACAGGGACCTCTCTATGCAAAAGAGAGATAATAATGGTACCAGCCCAAGTTGTTTTGAGATTAATTGAAATAAAGGATGTCAGAAGTTTTAGTGTAGCGCTTGACCTTGATATGTGCTTAACAGGTGTTAGCTATTATTAGCTGTTAGTCTTACAAATACTTATTGTTATTTCTTTTCGTGAAAGACAGGATGTGTTCATGTTCTCAAACTATAGATTCCTTAAGGGCAACGACTATACCTTACATTTTTATCTCCAACACTTAGCACTATGTCTCATACATTATAGTTAGTGGATACTGAGTAGTAGCTCTAATAAATGTCTCCAATAAAATAATAAGCCTTTTAGCTTATTTGCTTTGAGACAGTTTTGGAAGTAGTTCTATTGATTTATTGAAAAGCTTTATAATGGAATAGTTTTAAATATTCATAGCTCTACTTAATGCTATACAAAGCCAAATAAACAGACATGGGTCCTGCCTTTTGGAAAATTTAAAATGGTTTTAGATTTTTAAATATTTAATTTTGGGGCAAATAACTTGTTGACATTTATAGTTCAGAAGCATGTCAACTTCTTTCTTGGGGTTGACCCATTGCCAATAATATTGTTAGCTAACATTGTCAAATCCATGCTGTAGCCCTTTCTTTTCAAGGTATAGGTTTTATAGAGCTGTTAATACTACATAAAAATGGTTGGATATCTGAAGCAATAAAAAATGATATGTGCAAAATTATGATTATTATTATTTCATGTCAAATACCTCCCATTTCCTATGTTTTCTCCTTACTCCAAAGAAGAATACTTTCTAGAGCGAAATGAACTTCCTCTTCCTTCTCCGTCACCATCAAACATACATACCTGTATGTGTACATGTAAATAAAGCAGAGACATCTTCTGGTACCTGCTACCACTTCTAACCCATCCATCTGCCATGAGCAGCAGCCATTGCAGATCTGAATCTGCTAAGCTATGTATTCCCACAAAAATCAAGCCTTTTTTTTTTTTTTTTGGTAGCTTATATTTTTTATATGCTGGCTCTGGATATTCTAAATTATATCCATTGTTCAAAATAAATATACTGGGCCAGCCGAGTGGCTCAGTTGGTTAAGAGCTCGCTCTAAGAGTTTGAGCTCTGAGCAGCAGTGGTTCGATGCCTGGCCTGAGCTGAGCTGCCAACAGGTGGCAGGATGGCTCAGCTAAATAAATAAATAAATAATATTAAAAAAAAAATATATATATATATATATATACACACATATATATACTGATTTGGTTCAAGTTATTTCACCATCTTTTGGAAGTTTTTATAATAGTTTAATACTTATCTCGTTGCATGTAAAACTAGTTTTATCCTTACTTTATGACTAAAACTAGCTTAATTAGTTTTGGGGAGTGGTGGAGGTAGCTATGGTTTGTTTAAAAATGTAATGTTTTAATCAGTTCTGGGATGGAGTGTGCCTATGCATTAGTAGTACTTAACAGTAGTGGCTGCCGTTTATTGAGTGTTACATCAGTCTGGATGGCATTTTCACTAGGCAGCCATAGAAAATGCTACAATAGGGGCTTAAGCCATAGACATTCAAGTCTCACATCATAAGAAGTCAGCAGTTCTTTGGTTGATGTAGTGACTCAACAATGTCATGAAGGACTCAGGTTCTTCCTATCTTTTTGCTTTGCCACCAACATTTTTCATCTTTAGGTTTGATACTTCATATTGTAAAATGGCTTCCATAGCTTTAAGCTATGGGTGTAAATAAGGGGCTTTCCTTCCATATGGAAGGACAATCTCCCAGAAGCTTCCAGTAAATTTCCCTTCAAGTTTCATTGGTCAAATTTCCCCTGAAGTTACATAGCCAACCCTAGATGCAAAGGAGGCTGGGAAAGCAAGTATTTGGCAAAGGAAAAGATGGTCATCATGATGATTTCTGCCTTCGGTGGAGCATATGGCTACATTTTACAAAACGGGTTGTGTTAGCAAGGAAGAAGGAAAGAGAATGGTGTTAGGTATGACTGACAGTTTCTACATGGAGTTGCTCTACATACATTTTAATGTAGTCTTCAGAGTGGTGTGTTAAATTAGGCACTATTACCCCCATTTGATAAGTGAGGAAGCTGGTGCTCAGAAAACTTACATAACTAGCTCTGGTGAAATCATCAGCAAGTAATGACAAAACCAGAAGTCAAACCCTCTTACTTCAAAGCCCACACTCTCCCTATTTCCTCACAATGCCTCTATTGTCAAACTGTCAAATTTTCCCCATTGCTTTTTCCCCCCGCCCCACAGTTCCACGGTCCCATTCTGACAGTGAAAGTGAATATTCTGCTTCCAACTCAGAGGATGATGAAGGGGCTGCCCAAGAATATGAAGAGGACACTAATGAAGTCATACTGAGCCAAAAGAGTCAAGCTCAGAATAGAGTCGATTCAACTCCTGTTTGCAAAGAAATACCTTCTAAGAAAATGAAAAGAGATAAAACAGTAAGTGAAGAGAGAGACTTAAACTTTCAAGAAAATTGGTGTAACATCTCAAAGATAAGCTAACCTAAGAAAAGAGATCCAAATGGAGCAGTCAACATAATTTTTCTTCACTTTTCTATATTTTCTCAGCCTTTCACATAAATTCCCATATATATTTCTGTCTATTTTGGACTCTCTATCCTGGCCTCTCTGCATCCCTATTTATGTAACAATACCACAGAATAGGCTAAAAGTGACATCTCAACTCAGTTGTATATAACAATCTTTATTGGAGGCAAGACTTCTCAGTGTATATCTTCTTATATAATTCTATTTTTGTAACGTTGATGTATTCAAGTCAATTTAAGTTATAAACAATGTGGCTGTGGATCCGTGCTGAACTATTGGGAAGAACGCTGCAGACACCATGGCTTGAAAAAGCTGTTTATCCTGGTGTTCTGTGTAAAGCTTCAGAGCAGCCTAGGAAGCCGACTGTTTGAATGGCTTTCCATCCCTTCTTTACTACCATGGAGGTTAGTCTTGCCCCAAAGCAGCAGAACCAGTATGAGCCATGTTACTGGAATAGTAGGCAAGTTTTTTGGGGTTTTTTATAATATTTGCTGTTGATGTCTTCCTCATTTTCACACTACTTCAACTATACTGATATTAAAGGATTTGCTAGCACTGTGTGAGGCAAAACAAAGTTTCTGATATGTAAACCTCCTTTTATTTTTCTAAAGTCCAAGTGGAAATTATATATTGGAACTCAGGAATTGTTTTGGGGAAGAGAATACTTCAATCTAGTTATTTCTGTAATTTTTATGATCCTAAGAGTTATTCATTTATATCACTAGCATTAAATTCTCTTGGTCCAAAATCTGTATTGTTGTTTCAAATGAAAATACTGAATGCCAAATAAAGAATTTCACAAACCCTATATTATGCTAATATTACTGTCTAGTTTTGATATAAAACAAATATCTGAAACTAAGAACTGACTTTGCTCTGTTGTTCACTTTCAGAGTGACTTAATAGAAGAATATTTTGAAGCGCACAGCAGTTCAAAAGTTTTAACCTCTGATAGAACACTGCAGAAACTAAAGAGAGCTAAACTGGATCAGGTATGTTGCAAGGATTGTTACTTCTAAATTTTTCTTATTGCGAGCTGAAAAATATACTACATAAGCAGCAAATTTGAAGAGTAAGTGTACACATGCAGAATTATTATCCTAATCAAATGAAACACAAATTAATGTGACATCACTGTTTTTTTATTATATAAATGCTAAATGGTTCACTGGATTAGAATTCTATTTGACACTATAACTGCATTTTTTTTCTCTTATTCGTCATTTCTTCAGGATCTATAATATTCATCAGAGTCATGGTTCATTTGATATCCATGTACCATTAATCTCTCTCATTCATTTAACACACGTATTCATTGAACCTTACACTGGTCATAAAACAAAGACTGACCTTACTCTCTGTTACAAACCTTGCAAAAAGCAGAGGATAGATATTCTGCTTCTTGATATGGAAAACCTGCTCAATGCAGTAAGGTAACAAGTTACTATGTTACCTTACTATGATTCTGGTATCTCATTTTATAAGACATACCATACAGTTATACTTGTTGGGCTTTTGGTACTTCCCTAAAGAGAGGAGACAGAACCATCTGAGTGAGAAAATATTTCAGTAGAAAGTGGGGTTGATAATCTAAATCAGAAGATTGTTATTGGCTCAAAGAGTATCAAGGCTTTATTCTCTGCAAGCTAGATGTTAGTGCAATTTTCTAAGGTGTATCAAGCTTTTGACAGAGTTTTCAAACTATAGAAAAGAGAGGAAAATATAGGGTAAGCCTCCCTGACCCGGATGACATAATGCTGTGTGGTTGTGTTTGTTTTTGTTTTGTCATCTAGCTTATTGGTATTGAGACTCAGATCAGAGACTAGCTGAAAATATTTATCAAGAAGCCAAAGTTGTTCCAAGGAAGAGATGGTGCTAACATCTGCTTAGTGCATATATTTTTATATAAGCAACATGGGAGAAGGATAAATGGACCTCGGGTCAAAGGAGGACTACATAGGACCTAGAAGCAAAAAGACCTTTAGGAGGATGAAAGAAACACCTGTTATTGATAATGAGGGAAGAGGAGGCCTTTCAGTACAATCTCAGTAGCATGTGTCAGTTTATTTCTCATGTCTGTGGGTCAGCTGGGGGTTGGCTGATCTAGGACTTGCTCCATATGTCTCTCCCTCCTTGGACCAGCAGGCTAGCTGAGGCATGTTCTTTTCATGACAATGTCAGAGAGGTAAGAGAAGTGGAAAAACACAAGACCTCTAAAAGCCTGGGTGCCAGCCTGGCTCAATGTCACTTCTGCCTCATCCTAGTGGCCACAGCAAATCACATGGCTGTAAGCAAAGAGTCAGAGAGCAGGGACCTAGGCTCACCTCTTGAGTGGAAAAGACTGCAAAGCCACATGGAAAGGGTGTGGGTATGGAGATGGGGAAGTTAGAGGGCCAGCAGTGCAGTTCTCCACAGATACTAAAATTGGAAATGAAAGTTCATAGGTGAGATAACATTCCAGA